ATGGCAAATTGAATTTTGCAATCGACCCCGTTATTTCGAACTGTTTTTCGTTTCCCTTCAGAGTTCGAGTTACCAGGGTTATTTAAATTAAGGTCGAATGAAGGCATATCATTAATTCCAGACAATCGCTCGACACTGATTCCGAAAGATTACCTGCACAACTTCAGGCCTTAGTTCCAGGACATACGCCAGTATGGCCCGCTCTCGCGATGATGGATACGAACAACGTTGGAATTCCTCCTCCAGCACACGTTTCTGTAACGAAGAAAAAGCTGTACGCGGATGTCTGTTCTGAGCTTGGACTTTTCCGGCCACGAAAAGTTCTTGATCCACTGTAGCTTTTGACTTGTTCAGTCGAAAATCATCTAAAGTACATATAACCAATGCAAGAGAAATATATTATTTTTCGTTTCTTTCCGAATAGTATTCCCCCCTTTTCTGTTAGCCTTTCAATCCTAGATTCACCTACATATCCTCGGAGCCTTCTTCAGCTACAAATATAGGGCGCTTTCCACTCAGCCCAAAATTCCGGAAATTTCGGTTAGAAATCAAATCAAACGGGCCATTTCGGTTCGGTCCGACCGGAATATTTGGGACCACCTTTGAAGATGGTCCACTTTGTCTGGTCTGGTCATTTCGGTAGGTCGGACCGAATTTGACACAATTGCTATCCCCAGTACCACTCTTGCATCCTGCTTACGAGAACAATAACCAAACGCGCGGTGGCTTGCGTCGGGTATGTGCAACCGGAATATACTGTTCCATTGGGCACGTGGAACTTTGGAAATTTAAAACTGGAATTTTTGTTGAATGGAAACGCCCATAGTTAGCGATTGAAGCCAGCCCTGCGAGAACGCGCGAGGAGGTCTTTCTACGCTTGTCTCCTTCAAGTCCCGCGTTCCGCTCGAACGTGACTTGCTCTGCTGTGATATGCCCTAAACAGAGAAATTTCTCACAGGCTAAAACAAATAAGCACCACGGCATGCAATAAAGAATTTTGAGTCTATTTTTTGATTTCTTTTCCCACAAGACCTGCTTAACCTCGTTCCTAACGCTTTTCCCCTTACAAAGGAAGAACCCTGGGAACGAGGTTCAAAAACTGGAAATCCTTCTCTGCTTTGATTTGTTGATTAGCTGAGTATGTTTTGACGCGAACAAAAATATAAAACATAAAAGGCTAGCAGGCTGTGACAAAGGCCTTGTATGAGAGATGTGGCCATGGACTCCGCGTGATGACGATGTACTCTTGCCCTGTCCACTGTGGGGTGTTTCAACCTGCCCGAACTTCACCTGAACTTCGCCCGAACATGCAGTTTGGTATCCGACACAATCGACAATCTGCTGGGGATCATTCAGATCACGTGACCCGCCACACGAATAACGAAGCCTGGGTAGGATAGGAAACATTCTGGGATTTTGGGATTATTCCGGAATAGTCTCTATCAAATCAACAAAACGAATTAACTGCGTTCAAAATATTTTTTGTTTGAAAAATTGCGTCAATAATCAACATTGTCGACACGAGGATATTTGTTTCCTCGGAAATGAAACTCATTGGCTGGGAAACATTGTTACGTCGTAAGGAAGCCATTTTGACCATGATCAAAGTCACGAAAATGTTTGATGCACTCCTGAGTCAATTTTTGCCAGCTTGTTTTGTTCGTAATTACACGACACTATGAAAAACTGAAAAAAAAATTTGATAACATGTAATGAATAGCAAAAAAAAAAAAATTAAGAATTCAACGGTGAAAATTTGAGCCTTTGGCTTGGACTTTTGCAATTCTCCAAGATGGATTCGAGATTTGAAGACCACCTTTGTTAATCTATCAGCACGACTTTCCATTCAACTTTGTAACAATTTTGGTAACATTCAAAAGCAAACGCGCTTGTTAACTTACTCTGTAAACCCAAAGTCAGAATAAAGTTCGTATGATATCTTTCATCCTCGTGACAGATTTCCTCAGTAAACTCAAACGAAATTAAGTTGCGTTTTGAAAAAGCAGCAAAATTAAAGTAGGATCATTTTTTAACTCGCCGAGATCTTGAAGTATCCTCAGTTCTGCTGTACGACTAACTAAAGGCTAGAGAACTGATCAGTTTATGAAGATCCAGTGTAACGGCAAAAAATAAAGTTTCCTGTACGTTCTATACGTAAAAAGGAAAGGGGAAGAATCTAAGGCTATGTATTGAATGTTGTTTTTGGAATTGCCTTGGTCAAAATCGAGATGAACCACTGTCTTTGTTGCTCCTTCGAAGAAAGTCTGATCGGACAGGAATTGAAATTCAGTAGATACGCATGTTTCTACTTTTAAGATTCATAATTCTCCAATTCTTTTTTTTTTCTTCTTCTTCGTTTTAATTCATCTTTAAATCAAACAAAGTTAACTTATCTCAGAATCTGTGCCATGAGGAATAATCACAACCCAAACATCGGAGCGCTGTTTGCTATATTAGCAAAAGAGCTATCAATTTTTTCACTCACCAATGTCCTTAAACACATATCGCTGCTCGACGTTAGAAATGGTCGCGAAAAGTGAAGAGTCCCTTGGTTCGAGTTCAGGCATAGGTTCCATAAAAAACGAATCAAACGAAGAAAATTCTCCGCAGCTCATTCCAACTCAATTTAACTGTGAAAACCGAACTGGTAAAGACAAGTGCATTTGGTACTGTGGCAATTTCTGTATTTCTGTGCACGCTTATATTAGCGCAAACCAATGAAAATTTCGTGTTTTGTTTTACAGACAAAGCTAGAAAAATAAAACAAACAAACAAACAAACAAATCCAGGAGTCGCTCACGCATCTTAGGCAGTTTCGCATTGACTATCATGACGCACAATTGGGCGATCAGAATACGCTGATTACACTATTTGGCGTCATCTATTGTTGTTGTTGTTGTGGTTGTTGTTGCAGTATGCCCTATTTAAGGTACGAGCAGGACACCTTGAACGCACAATTTTGCGTCATTGGTTGTTGTTGTTGTTGTTGTAGCACGATACCCCGCTCCTGGTTCGAGCAAGATACCCTGATCGCACAATTTTGTGTCATCGGTTGTTGTCATTGTTCTTGTTGTTGTTGTAGCAAGATACTCCATTTAAGGTGCGAGCCCGTAGCCGTAATCGGGGTAATGTCGGTTATGGCTCATGGTGCGAGCAAGATGCACTGATCACACAACTTTGCGTCATCGGTTGTTGTTGTTGTTGTAGCAGGAAACCCTATTTAAGGCTGGAGCGTCTCCTATTCTAAGGCACGCACCTTGAAAACTTTTAAAGTAAGGAATTAGCCGCCAACCTCCCAACCCTAACCTCACTCCCCCCCCTCCCCCTCCCCAGCGAAAGAAATTAAACCCATAAGTGTGAAAGGCCCTAATCGGCCGTTTGACGGCTGAACGTTAGGCTAGGTAGATGTTGCTCCGAACTGAGATAAATCTACGTTTCTGGGCAACTTCCCACCTACCCCTCCCCTAAGCCAACAAACTTCTCACTTAGGGCAAAATGTTGGCTTAGGGGAGGGGTAGGTGGGCAGTTTCCCAGAAACCCAAATTTATCGTCCAATTGGACTATGTGACTGTTTTAGAGACACTGATTTTCTTTTATTGGCTACTGCCAGCTTGGCGAGAAACAATAGTTAGCAGTAGATGCCATAGGGCTAAAACCCCTTGGACATCTTATGAAGTTTATACAACGTAGTCTCCTCTATGGCTTACTGAAAAAGGAACCGGAGGGATAAGAATACTACGTCGTGTAAACGTCATAAGGTGTCCAAGGGGGTCAAGGTAGATGGGATCTAATGCTAACCGAAAAGTATAGAGCGGTTTCACATGAGTAGGCTTTGAAAGATTGTGCTAGCATAATTTTTGGCATAATTCGTCACCACGAGCATGATTTTCCGAAGAAAGCACTGCTAGCATGCTAAGTTTGCTCTTTTGGCTAGTTCTGCGGCACGAAATTGTCATTTATTGATCATGCAACCACTTTTTTTGCCTAAGATCAGTGTTTGTTATGACAGGTATTGGACCTTGGTCACACAGGAAGTTACCCGGGGTCGGGTTGTTCAAAGCTGGGTTAAGATAACCCAGGGTTAGTGCAAAATTTGAATTGAGATATGAAAGCTTAAAAGTAAATTCAGTTTAATTCTTTTTGTCAACAAGTTGATGATAAGATGTTCTCAAAAACAACAGAGAAAATTATCCAAGGAAATGCTTTTGAACAAAAGAAGAGAAACCCGGGTTAAATTTAACCCTGGGTTAAGCACTAATCGGCCTTCGAACAACTAGGCCCAGGAGTCTACCCAGGACTCTTCCCACAGGACTCAACGCATGTGCATAACTAGCTCTGGTATAAGCTCTGGTACCTAAGATAGCGTCAGCGTGCTCTGCATTTTTGGCTAAAATGATCTTAATTTACAAAAACTAGCATAATTGTCGCCATAATTTTAGAAATATATAAGCACTGCTAGCAGCCTATTACGCTACTTTTGCGAGCACAATCTATCAAAGCCGACACATTACGTCACGACCGTGACCCTATGTTGGTGTACCATCCTATGGGAGTTAAATTCTTTTCTGATGTAATCGTTTTCTTTTTCTAATAAATTAGCATGGGTATAGGTGCTGGCTAAAAGAGGAATGCACAACTAGGCTTGGCTATATTCCTTTATATTATTGGTAGTGTTAAAGAACAATCGCACTAGTAAATTTTTCTATGTCAAATCAGCCGTGATTCAACAACGCTGCTCGTTTTTTTCAACGTCTTTTTGTTCTACTAAATAACGCGAATAAACCAATCTATGAACATCATGAATTTTTTTTTTTTGTTTTTTTTGACAATAGGTGAAATCATACGCCATACTTTCATGTAAGGTTGTAAATCGAAATAATACGATAAACTTAGGCGTTGATTAGATAGTAATCTGTCTAGTGCGTTGTCTTGATAGTCTAGTCAGTTGTCTTGATACCGCGTCCAGGGACAAGCGACTTTAAGGGATTTAAACATTTCCAATGGCTTCTTTCCCCGTTCACGATGCTTTTATGGATGAATTATCTTGTCCAGTTTGCTTTGAAGATTTTGTGGAACCTAAATGCCTTCCAGGATGCGCGCACAACGTGTGTAAAATCTGTTTAGAGGACATTGTCAGAGCGCAACCGAAGACTAAACGTGGCTACTTCCAGTGTCCTATCTGTCGAGAAAAGGCCATGATTCCTAATGGAGGGATTTCAAAAATTCCCACTAATACGCTGATCGTAAGAATGCTGGAACGATCATTGGTTCCACGAGCTCAGCAAGAAATCGCGAGGGCTTTAGAGAGAAGCAAGGAGAAAATTGCGGCTTTGAAAACGGCTCAGGACTCAAATCACAGTGGGGCCTTTGTAGATGTAAAAAAGAAGGGAGAGGAATTAAAGAGAAGAATCGAAGAAAAGGGAGACGCGCTTAGAAAGTTGATTAAGTCACAAGAAGAGATGATGATCGCTAAAGTGAATGATTACGTGAAGAAGTTTGCCCACAAAAATCCTGTTAGTGAAGTAAATAGCCTATTGAAGAGGTTGGAAATTTCGGTGAAGCAGGCAGAAGATGTCTTGAAAGAACCAAGCCACTCCAAGATGCTGCAGTCAAAGGTGGCAATCGTAAAGAAGCTGGAAACAAGTTGCCATTTTGAAATGAATTCCTCCAAAGCTTCTCGCAATTTGGATTTGGATTTTTTTCCTAACGAAAACCTTGAAGAATGCTTGAAAAAAGAGTGTTATGGAAAACTGGCAAAAGGCAGCGGAGAAGCTGATTCAACAACTAGGCATCAAGGAAAAGCGCAAGTACTGAAGACCATAACAGTTGATGACATTGGAGAAACATCTTTTAACCCGTACACCGTCGCAGTATCAGCGGAGAAAGGTGAAATGGCTGTCCTTGACGACGAATCTAATAGAGTGTACCTCTTGACGGAGAGCGGAAACTATCTAAGATCATTTGGGGTCAAATTTGGTGATTTGTACGATGTAGCCTTCGTCAGTGATAAATGCCTTGATGGTATTCTGGTGGTAAATCGTTCACATAACCGGTTGTTGGCCTATTACCGCCTTAACGGAAGGTTCTATCCAATGTTCTACGCCACATATCGAAGTCTGATTCATTCCGAGTGCTCAAAGGTGAATTTTTCTAGCGTCACGCCCACTCCAGATGGCCGTCTCATCGTAACTTCAGAAGGGCTTGACGAGAGCTGTGTGATGGTTATTGATATGAAAGTTGGTCGGCAAAGCAAGGATCTTATCTTCGGAAAAGGGCATCTTGCTTGTCCCAGAAAGGCACTTTCCTACAACGGGGAGTTTTTTGTTTGCGATCGAGATGATGGAACAGTCAAAGTGTTTGACGCGAGAGGAGCGTTTCGACGAGAAATCGGCGAAGATTTGGAATGTCCGCGAGGGATCACTATTGACAAGAGCACAGGAAATATTCTCATTGCAGATCCGGGCACTGACAGCATCTACGCCCACCAAACATGGGATGGATCGCTTGTGGGCAAGTTATCTTTGGATAAACCTCCAATCAGCATTGGATTAAACGGGCAAGGCAATGCTGTGGTCTGCTATCACGACAATCAGTCGCCCTGTCTTCAAATAATGTCTTTCCAGTTTTAACTGAACAGATAAAAGGTGTTTCTGAACCCTGGTGTCACTGATAGGGAGCTTAGTAAGTTAAAATGTACGTGTGGAAGTGAAAGTAACTGGGTTTCGCCCTAAAATAATCAATTGTCAGTTAGATCATTCGTGTTTCTACCGGTAGACATCATGTCATTTTTGTTAACAGAGACTAAGGCCCTCATTAGAGTGTTATTGGGTTGCCTATGTCTGTTACGACATATTGCTCAACGAGGTCAACAAGGGCTTGGTGCTCTTGGACTCTCCAGATGGAACTTGTTGAAGATACAAATAATTGTGCCTTACGCCTTAAACAATCGCTTGTCAGTTATATCATTCAGTGTGTTTCTGTAGAAAGACATCATGTCATTTTTCAGTGTTGTTAGAGGCGACGGCCCTGAGTAGCTTGTCATTGGGTTGCCTGTGTTTGTTATGGCATCCAAAAGGGCTGGGTACAAATGGTTGAGATAACACACACTCCGATCTATTGTTTGTAATTAAAGTAATAGACTTTTGTCAGTGAAACAATCCTAAGTATTTTTTTAACTTAGAAAGATTTCTCTGGATGTGGCCCAAGGAGAGCCAGGCGAATAGTTTGTATTGAGAGATCTGGGGACTGGGGCTGACTCGGATCTCTCAATCATTGGTTTGCACTGGTTTGAGTCATTAGCTTGCTATCTTTTGTGAATCTGTCCGCTGAAGGGTGATAAAAGAATCCGTTTCTTCGACTAAATTCACTGAGATAAGTATGTAAAAATCTGAGTTCTTGGTGACAATACATTTCTCAAGGAGGCCCTCGATTCTGAACATTTCCTTTATAGCTAAACATAAACCTTGCGGTACATACTTAAAACAACTGAGCCAGATCTGGCCTGCTAGACCAATCAAGTCGTAGACGGAATCTCATTACTAATCAGGCACCAGTTAAAAAAAAAAGAAAAAAAAAGAGACCTCGCGATTTGACTAGCGCAAGGGTGATCAAATTGAAATCTCTCAGAAAGAAGATTGTAAATTAACCTGCGAGAACGGCTGCCTATCATTGCTGTTTACCTCTTGGGGTGTAGTCATGCGTCGCGCAACCTCGCCCCCATACTAGCCTGTGCCAGGCTCTCAGATAGTATAGTGCGGACGTATTAAAACGAGCAAAGCGAAAATAAGACGGCCTGGAACAGGCTACCCCCATAATAGAGCTTTCCCCTTAGAAAATTGGGAGCCACGCCCCATCCAATTTCTAAGGGAAATTCGCGCCCAGTAAGTCTGAGAAGTTAAAAGATATAGAATCCTTAACAAAAACAAAATCCAAAGACCCAGTTAAATAAGGAACTAAAACAAATAAATAAATAAATAAATAATAAATATAAACAAAAAGTACTGAAAACCTAAATTCAAGACGCATACACAAAGTTCTGCCAGCAAGTCAGCGGTAATACAAAATGGAGGTTTGTACAGGTTCGCTGTAAACGCGTTTCATGGTAATAGCGAAGTTTAAACCAACACTCCGCCTGATTAACCTGTTTAGGAAGTCTGAAGGGTTGAGAGGAAAGCCATTCTCACTTATTTGGCGGTCTGGTTCTTATCCAGGCCGTAGGAAAATGTCTTCCAGTGCGGTGGAGAAACTGGTGGATTCTCCTGAGTTTCAAAGCGTCCTCACTCCTGAACTGTTTACAGTGGCTACACCGCTTGAAAAGCAAGGATTTGATGTAAGAATAGTTGGAGGGGCAGTCCGTGATATCCTCCTGGGCATTAAACCAAAAGACGTAGATTTAGGTACGAATGCGACTCCATTAGAAATGATTGAGTTGTTCAAAAAGAGCAACATTCATTACATCGAGACAGGCTTACAACACGGCACTTTGACGGTTCACGTCAACAAGCATAATTTTGAAGTGACAACTTTGCGAATTGACGCTGAAACTGATGGAAGACACGCTAAAGTGGAGTTCACTAATGACTGGATGGTAGACGCAGAGAGGCGCGATTTGACCATCAATGCCATGAGTTTGGGTCTCGATGGCTCGCTCTATGACTATTTTGGTGGAAGAGATGATTTATTGAAGCGCCGGGTGCGATTTGTAGGTGATCCAAAGCTCCGTATACAGGAAGATTATCTGAGAATCTTGAGATATTTCCGTTTTTATGGTAGGATATCCTCAGAAGAGGATAATCATGATCCAACGACATTGAATGTCATACAAGAATGTGCCGAGGGACTGAAGAAGATAGCTGTGGAACGCATTTGGATAGAAATCTCCAAAATCCTAACTGGAAAATATATGCCAAGTCTTGTAAGAAGAATGTATGACCTGAATGTGGCACAATTCATTGGTGAGTGCCTTAAGCCACTTTTCTCTACACACCAGGGGTGCTCTGGATTCAAGAGACTTGATACACTCCGTGTAACCTCTGAATAATGACGTAACTAGGGAATGGGAAATATTAATTTTGCTTTCCTCATAATGGGGTTCATTATGTTGGGAGTCAGACTCCCTGAAAGTTTGTTTTGGCTGGGCCATTGTTCAGGAGGGAAAATGAACTTTGTTATCTGTGGTATGTTCAAGAGGCTTGGTGGTCCAGTGGTTTGTGCTTTGGATTCCAGATCAAGAGATCCCACTTTGCACCTGCAGGGGTCATTGTGTTGTGGGGCAAGATACTTGACTCTCACTTCATCCTGGTGTATAAATGGGTACTGGCAAAATAATATTAGTGTTGGGAGGGAGGCAATCCCTTTTATGGTTGACATAGGTGTCTGCTGCTGAACAAGCTGTGGTTTTCTGGGTCTTGAATCTTAAAAAGGGTATACAACTTCACTATTTAGCATCTTGTGCAGTGTCTTTTTAGAGTGGAAGACTTGAAAAGAGTCTTAAGGTTGATGATGAGCAGTCTACATGTGTGGTACCAACAATTTTTTCCAAAAAGCAAATTCCATGAAGTTAGTTTAAAAAATTTCTTAAGTCTGTATGCAAAGCAAAATGAATGAGGGTCATGAAGTAAGGTCTCTTGTCTTAAACATTTTAGCCTGCGATCATTTTCTCCTCATTTCTCTATTATGTCTAAAAAAAAGGCGCTTGATTGCAGGTTAAAACAGGGTAGCAAAATGAGAAGTATTTTAAAACAAATTAAAAATTTGTCTTTTTTATTACGGTTAATAATTATCAGGTCTCCCAGAGTACTGCGAAGAAAGCTTTCAAGAGTTGTCCCGAGCATGGAATGAGCACCAGGCCTATCCACTGCAGCCAGTGACACTGTTGTGTTCCTTGGTCAAGACTGTGGATGAAGCTGATCATCTAACACGTCAATGGAAGCTTTCCAATGCAGAAAGAGCCTTAGGTAAATTTATCACTGAACACAGGGTACCCAAACAACATGAACACCCCCTGAAGCCGTACCAAGACTCGATAGTCTCAGCACCAAATATCCAGACAAAGAATGTGATTAAAGGCCATGTTGTGGAGCTGCTACACTATCAAGGACGACATAATCTTGCTCAGGAAATCAACAACTGGGATGTTCCAGTTTTTCCTATCACAGGAGCTCACTTGAAAAAGCTTGGAGTAAAACCGGGGCCAGAATTTGGAAAGATGCTGGGTAAACTGAAAGAACTTTGGAAAGATAGTTATTATACTGCAAATGAAGAGGATTTATTAGAAAAATGTAAAATTTTCAAAGATATCTAGGAATTATTAATTTCGTAACAACCATTGCATTCAAATCTTAAACAGTTATGTCAAGTAGCACTGTTGTCTTTGAAGACATTTTGGATGATAAAGTAAAACAGTACCTTTGTAAACCAAACCTTAGTTTTTGTGTTTTTTTGTACATAAAATCGTAACAGGAACAACAGCAACAACTTTATTAGGGCATGAATTTAAAGGGGAGAAATATCTAACTGCAGGAAGCAATAGTTAATTTAGACAGGTAGTAAGAACAAGACACATGGTGGCCAAATATTGGTACAAGAAATTACTAAGTTTACATATATGGTGCAAAATATAGCAATGGAATTATTTAAGGCTGCTAGTACTCTAGCTTGATGGTAATATGACTTTGTCTTCACCTCTCTTCTCCCTGCAGTTAGGATCTCATTTTCATGTACTTATTTCTTCGTATTCATATTTACTGACCTGGGAGAGTCGTACAATAATCTAGACTGTTCACATTCCCCTATTTTTCTGTGAGATCATCAAGATTGAGCGTGTCTTACCATTAATGCCGGCCATCTTGATTTTCAGTTGTACCGAGTCTAACCTGGGGAGGACTATCATCCCCGACACCCGCCCCCTTGGTACATCTGAAAATCAAGATGGCCACCATTAACGGTAAGACTCACTCGATCTCGACAATCACACAAAAAATAGGGGACTGTGAACAGTCTAATAATAATCATGCTCTTCTAAAGGGAGACACCCTTATTATAGGTGTCGTCCCTCTCACTGATATGTTACTGCAGTCCCGCCCATATCATCCTCTGATACCCAGGAGCCACTTTAATATGTCAGGATTGCAAGCTGTAGCAAAATTTGCTAGCAAATATCAGTAGTAAGTTTAGCAAAAGTGTTTAAAAGAAAGTGTTTGCTGACTTGAATAACAAAAATTGCAAATATAGCAAGAGTAGTAAATTTAGCAATTGGTTGGACTTATCAACTCAAAAGGGGAAAGAAGTCTTCGGAAAAGGACTGGTCACAAATTAGCAAAAGATGCAAATTTGTAAAAATTGCAATGTGAAAGAGATGTTAGCAAATATGGCAAAAATACAAGTTGGGTTGCGTGAAACAGCTTGATGAAAAACTTTCGTTGTGCTGTTTCTCCAGATTCAACTGACAACCCCCAGCCTCATTCCCAGGGTTCTTGTGCTCTGTAGGCACAAGTAGGAGAGAACTCTAGGAATGAAGTTGGACTGCCCCTAGATCTCTGAGGATGTGCCTATCTTGAAGGAATTTGTTTTAGCAGGTTTGATCCACGCGTGGATCTAGGATAAATACTGACCGATTTCTCAAATGAGCGCCAACGGTATAAGTTTCTAGGGGAGTCCTCGGGCATGCTTCCCCAGGAAATTTTTTGGATTTTAACTCCCTAAAGTCCCCTTACCTGGGTTTCTGAGTTACAGGTATAATTTTGGACAGGATATTGTCTAGTTTCATTCTCCTCAGATGAAGCCTTACAACTCGGCGATTATTATTATTATTTCTAATGCCTAGAAATTGGAAAAAAAATTAAAAAAATCATTTTCCAGAAAAAATATATTATATTTTTTATAAAAAATCTGACTGATTTCCATAAAAGGGTGGAAACTGGTGTGGATCCTCGGCTGTGATCTAATATTTAAACTCATCTTTAACCAAAGCAGCCCAATCCCACAATATTAAAAATAATTGGCAAATTGTTGCATATTCGTTATTGTCATGTTTTATTGTTTTTTTTGTTGTTTTTTTTGCATATAGACCATCAGTGCATAAATTATTTTTGTCTCCTTCACATGATCTGTATAAAAAAATTATTTCTTATCATTCTCAGTTGTAAAAAAAAAAGAAATTGAAAAAAAAATTAATTGCAACAACTAACAAAACTCTTTTCATATAGTAAAAGAGATTCTCCAAATCTAATTGGGATTTTTCACTTTTTCAACTTTTTAACTTAGGCTGGTTTCAAATTTTAGTAGAAAGTGTTGTACATCATCCCTGATCAATGTCTCGTAAATGCATGCAGGTAAAATGAAAAAATACTCTCGTCTATGTATTTATTAACCTCCCACCCGGACGTTTTATACTCGTTTCCTATAAATAGACTTGATGCCCTCTCACGTGATTAGACTCACTCCCCATGACGTGGAGGACGTCACACATACAGATGGTAGGCGCGGTTGCTCAACGTAAGGAAGGCAACATCAAGCCGTATAAAGGTTGACGAAGTAAGAGGTTGCTCAGTGCATGTTCTGTACGGTTTAGGGAATTTTAAAGGGGCAGACAGATTCCTAAGATGTCTAACGCCAAGGAGAAGCAGCTAGGCTTGCATAAAGTTATAATGGTTGGAAGTGGTGGGGTCGGAAAATCGGCACTAACTTTACAGTTCATGTATGACGAGGTGAGAGTACAACACGTTTTAGAAGTCATCTTTTTGCGCCCGGTTTTTGCGACAGTGCAGCAAGTAAACTTAGCTTGATGTTACATTTTAACAGCTGTTTAAGGTAAAGTTAAGTTTTATTCACCGAAATATTAAAAAAGGTCTGTGTTTTACTGTTAGCTTCCTGTCATGCCGGGCTAGATAGCGATTTGTTGACAAATCAGTGACTCGAGTTTACACTTTGTTTTTTAGTTCGTCGAAGATTACGAACCTACTAAAGCAGACAGTTATCGAAAGAAGGTTGTTTTAGACGGCGAGGAATGCCAGATCGATATTTTGGACACGGCCGGGCAAGAAGATTACGCTGCGATTCGTGACAACTACTTTCGAAGCGGGGAGGGATTTCTCTGCGTGTTCTCGATCACTGAGCGGGAATCATTTGACGCTACATCGGAATTCAGGGAGCAGATTCTTCGAGTAAAGGGAGATAGTGAAAATATTCCATTTTTGTTGGTTGGGAACAAGGCTGATTTGGAAGACAAGCGGCAAGTAACAGCCGACGAAGCCCTCGCAAAAGCAAAAGAGTGGAATGTTGCTTGCGTGGAAACGTCAGCGAAAACCAAAGCGAACGTTGATAAAGTGTTCTTTGACCTCATGAGAGAAATAAAATCGCGAAAGGAGGACGGTCTAAAGCCGGATAAAAAGCATAAGAAAAAACAAGCTGGCGAAGGGAGGAAAAGGAAATGTGTTATTTTGTAGATTTTCTTTTCCCTGTTATCAATGCACAAGCCAATTCTCGTCACCATTCAGGTACGCCCATGCATACTCTGACAGATGTAATGCTGCGGAAATCGCCTGACAGAGCTCATGGGAATTTCCTTTTCTCAGCTTTTGGGTATTTAATAAAATGGAAATTCTGTCAAAGATAATTTTCTTCAGTTTTAAGGAATTCGAAAGAGTTACCGTTGTAATTAAAATTTCGGAAAATATTTAGAAGGTTTTACTTCTAGTATCTGTGTTTACAAAGGAGTGAAAAATTGTCGAGAAAGTGACATGTACACAATGAACGACTGACTGTTTCAGGTCTTTATCTCTGTTAGTACTTATGAAAAATTGATCGTTTGTCATGTTTTAGTATTATTTTTAACTTTATTGAGAAAATGTTCTCTTCATTTTGAAATAATAATAATAATAATGTGTGGTTGAAAATAAACCAGCAGAATGATAATTCCAGCAATCCTATTTCTTTATTTGAAAAGTTGTTTTGATGATGCAGTGGAAATGGGACTGTGCTATATAGTCTTGAAAATGGAGAGTCCTGATAATCAAAGATATGTCAATTGATAAGGCCTTTCAGCAATGGCTGTTTTTGGCATAAAGCTGAATTCGTTACATAATTTACAAATTATGACCACTTTGGTTGAGAGCCACCTTAAATTTTGAAAAATAGTTAGGTCACTTTGAGAGAAAGACCCGGTTATTTAAACTGCTTACTGTCTGCCTTTTCTCGTAAATCTGTCAAGTTCTCATCCCTGCACATTTGCAAACAACAATGTTCATAAAAAGGGATTAGGACAAGACAAGAACAAACAGACTGTGGACTCTTGTACAGCAAACCCTATGGCAGCCCATAAGCAGAGTAGTTGATTGGTCAATTTAATTTTGACCAATCCTCCTAGTAATAGTGAGATGCCATGCAAACACAGACAAAAACACGTGAATAGCACAATAAGAAGCCAACAAAGTTATCCAAGTGCAATGATCTTAAAAACAACTGGAGGAACCAGAATAGTAGGCTGATGTAGTTTTAAAGACAAGGTGATGACAGTGATGTCGATGCTTGCAGATTCAAAAATCGGCTTGACCAATGGCAAAATGGCAAATTGGGCACCCAGAGTTCCATGGTTGTTGTCATTCCTTTCTGCTGGCTTTCGTGATCTCATTTGACATTGCATAGTCCTTGCTAAATCCACCTATTGTTAACTTCGAGACCTGGGGGTACTCATAAAATTTTTATACAGGGAGGCTCCTCCCTGAGGTCCGGGGGTGCAGTCACTTCCTTATAAGAGGCTAATAGGGATGTGCCGCAGGATAGGGTCGCATTTTCACGACTGGATTGAGTATAATGGGGTCGCATTTTCAATAGCGTTACTAGAATGGGGTCGCACATTTTCGGACGTTTGGGGTGAGAAAGTTCTTCATAGTAACGGTTAGCAAACGTACCAGAATATTTGTACTGTAGGTGAAAAGTTAAGTCTTCCTCATTCAATTTATTATTCATTTTAGGATGATCTATTTAAAGGATTGATAAGGTAGATACATAAATAGAAAGTGATCAAGTTGGGATCGTGAAAAATACATATTTGCCCAAAAGTGACTAAGATGGGGTCTACAATGGGCAACAAAATAGACTACAATGGGGTAAGGGCTCTGAGAGACCAGCGGCACATACCCAGCAAAAAAAACAACCCAAGTAACCCCCCCCCCCCTCCCGGGCCCAAGGTCCAGCCCCTTACTCTCTTATATACCATTTTTGACAGAAAGGGTACCCTTTTGTATACCATCTAATGACAAATGGTACCCCTTTCACTTACCTAGTTTAGAACTTTGCATCCCTTTTAACTGCTGAAAATGCACAATCTTTTAATATGATTCAAAAACTCATTAAAAATTCATGAAGAAAAAAAGAAATTACTGTTTATTGAGTGTTTTTATATCTGATAAAGACATGGGTAAACTTTACGTCCAATTTTTTAGACCAAAATAACCCCAAATCTAAAAGAAGTGCAAGAATGAGTTGATCTATATCAGCGCTTTTGAAGCCGCTCAAAAAACTGGCAGGAGTGTATTATTAGGTTCAAAAACTCTTGGCTTCATCGAGTTTTTAAACCTGATAATCCATTCCTGCTTGTCCATAAAGCACAAAACCAGGATGTTTTCCCATCTTTTCCCCTCGATCCACAGCCATAAAATGCATCTGTTTGCCATTTTTGTCCTTTTTATGACCAAAGTGACAGATTTCCCTACCAATTCATATACTTTAACCAGTGAAATCCCTTTCCTTTCATATACCTGAAGTACCCCTTTTGGGTGGAGCCTTCCCATATAGGCTATTATAGGTAATTACCCCCCCCCCCTCCCTCCCCACCAGGCTTTGTGAGGTCACAACAACCAGCAGCAATAGAGAGAACCATCTTTATGATGGACAAGATAATTTAATATTATTTAGACCGGCACTAATGTCCATCTTAATGAATAGCAGGTATCCATTTTGTAATGTGTGCCAAGGAAAATTGACCATAACTTAAATTATCTTTCCTTCTTAACTGAGAGCTCTGATCGCTTTTACCTTGGCTTGACTTAAGTGTACCACATTAACTCAAGAGCCCAACATGTATATGACCATCTACCGACTGTCATGCATGTTGGGGCAAAATATCATGCCAATGAAATCAGCCTTACAAAAATTCAATTAATTAGGCCTGGGAAGAACAAGCCTACCCTGTGACAGGCACTCAGCGGCGGATCTAGGGGGAGGGTGCCGGGGGTGCGCACCCCCCCCCCCGCCCCTGAGATGACCTGTGGTTTTCTACTACAACTGGTATTCTGCCAAAAAAAAACTATGTGGTTTATTGGTGTTGAAGTAGAGCAAGAGATGAGTGCAGACCCTCCTAAAAAGAATCCTGGATCCGCCCCTGGCACTCTAGTGCAGGATAGGTTGAGGAGTAGTAAAAAATGTGCAAGAACTTTGCTAAGAAAGGAGAGAGTGAAGAAAACAAGAACAAATAGAAGAAGATGGAGGGGAAGTCATCTAACCCCTTTCTTCACTCAATGTCCCTGCTGAAGCCTGTTTGCAGGTTACGGAAGCTAAGCAATACTAAACAACTCTTTCATTACAAATAATGTTCTTTATTCCATTACAATAATGTCCAATCTACTTGGATTGCTGTTTTCTACAGCTTGGCCTCTGAAAAAACACTTTCTTTTTTCTGTAAAATGTATTACACAGGGGGTAGAAAAACAGGGATCTGTGCGATGTAACATTGCCAATGACAAGATCTCTAACTTCTTGCCATTGAAAAATAAAATTTAAATTATGTACACTTCTCTCTTGTCGCGAGTAGATGAAGCAGCATGCAAATGCAGTTCAAGGCTGACATTTGCACCCACTTACATAGAAAAGATTTGCTTGTTGCAAGTGCCTGTTTACAGTGTTTACAAATGGCAATGTGACCCTGGTATCAGGAACCTTACGATCTGACAGTGGCAACACCAGTGAAAACGTCCCTGAAAAACTTACATTGCGTCTTTTCAGACTTTCTACAATTATCTCAACTTGATCAGTCATTTAATAGTTGGGAAGTTAAGATGTAGATGAAGAGCGAGGACCACATCCAAGCTCAGCCGAGATACAGTCAAAGTTATCCCCTTGCAATTCCTCTTCTTAAGAGAACTTTAAAATGTGGTCATTTCACATCATAGCTGTGTGGGGATGGCTACAAAATTGACAGAAATGCGTGATGCAGATGCAAGGTTGTTATTGTGCTAATTAAAACTATCATGTTCCTTTGAGGTTCTCGTTGCCACCATCGTCATAGTTTCATAAGGTCCCTATATGGACTGAAAGTAAGCTGCATAGGCATTGGTAAATCCTTGTTACAATCCTTGCCTTATTAGCACTATGCTCAGCATTCTCTGATCAAGCTATAAAAATAGCAACTCTGAGTATCGAAAGTCATAGAGGAACGGTGAAAGTTTAAGCCTGTTATAATGGATGCTCTTTGAGAGTTTCTGCCTTATAAAGAATATGGGGCTCATAAAATTTAACGTTTCTGCCACACAGAAAAAATTGATTCTATGAACTTTTACACCCAATATTTCTTTAAATATTGCCTGCAAATGCTCAAAATTGTCCAGATTAGTAATGGTAACAGGACTGAGTGGAGTTCAATAATTTTTGGTCTGTAATCATACAAGTGATTAACAGAATCAGACTACCGCATAATGGGAGAAGTCCAATTTGTTTAATCACGAGTATGATTACAGACCGAATTGGACGACACGAAGTTCTATTACCAATTAATCATAACTTTAACAAAATTTGTGATGTATAAGGCCCTTTTTTAAAATAAAAAAACAAGAAATTCCAAGATTTTTTTGGCTAGCAGTGAAGAAAAGTCATTTAAGCACGCGTGTGATGGCACGTACTGTCCAATTACTTAGGCATGACTCGTACTGTCCTACTGCACTGTCCAATTAAGGCTGAAATCAGGGCAGTGATAGCCAATCAGATTTGAGAATTTTGTTATAGTTATGATTACTTAAGTAAAACAACTCTTTCAACCTTTTCATTGAATTTGTATGTATCGCAACCACTATGGGTAATATTATATGCTAATGAATGAAATTGTGCACATTGGTAAGTAAATGTGGAAAAAGCCCTCAGTACCTCTGAAAAACTGCAAGATAAATTGCTTTGTTCATGAAACAAAAGGATAATTTAACATTACATCCAGGGTCACCAAGCGGCTTATTCTAAACAACCCTACACATAAATGTTGAGTTGAAATTGCCTGTACTAAGTACAAACAATGAACATTTTAATAACAATGGACATTACTAAAATTTATTCATAATATGCTTTTTGAGACAAGTTCGGATTTCAACTTAGAAAGAATTTTGATCTTTTCACTCTTTGATGTGTTCTGGCAATCACCAGTCAGCTTATTTGTCACTTACTTTTATATCTGTGGACAAAATCCTATGGTGTTACCATTCAAATGAAACCTCTTCAGCAGTACCTTCACAGGGTACTATTTATGTAGAATGTAGTTCTAACTTTTGAGTCTGTGGATGAAATCCTATGGTGATACCATTCAAATGAAACCCCTTTCGCACAACTTTTGTGTAACATGATTCATTTCTTAGGAAAGACAACAGAAATGTGACCTTTCTAGGAGAAACGTTTTCTTCAGCCACTAATAGGAAAGGTTAAGGCTTTTCTTAAAAAGTGTGTGGACTTTTTGACCTTGGGATGGTAGGTTCGTGTATAAATATTTACCACCGTTCAGCCACTTAAGATTTGAGGTTATTTACCAGTCATGGTCAATATATGAAAATTGAAGATAAAAAATCAATCCACCAGTTTGTACCAGTCAAAAGTATAATGTATAACAATAATTGTATTAGCAACTGGTGAAAAATATTTTTGATTGGTAGTCAAAGACACAAGTTCTTCATCTGCCATTAATCACTGATGTCTCATGTCATTGTACTTATATGACTTTGGAGATTTGTTTAGCTATTGCTGCTACTGTAATAGTATCCGATTCAAATGAAAAACAACCAAAACAAATCGCTGAAAATCAATCGCGGTTAAAGTCACAATATTTTTGTTCATCAGCTGGTGTGATATCAATCAATTAGCTGAGTCAGTTAATACAAATGATACCAAATTTCATTTACTATCTATTTCATAAATTGAACATGTCAGGTATTCTATTAGTCTCCTCATAAAATGTAAGTATCATAAGAAACATACATGTACATGTAGGTAGCACAGTCTGGAGAATGTCGGTATTGATCTTCAAAAGGGTTTCAAACTGAACTCTGTTTTGTTCAAATTAAAACTTCCCACCAAACTTATGACTGGATAACCTGAAGGCAAACTCTCAGTTTATGAGGTAGAGTAGCCTGTGTCGCAGACGTAATCTGACCCCATTTAGTAACGTCTGTGAAGCAGCGCGGATATCCTTGTTCTTAGCCCCCAACTGACTCAACGGACTACCGGAAATGCGTTTCAAATTTCTCTTCAACCTGATTGGCAAATTTACAATCACTTTTTCAACAGGCCAATCTTGGCACGTACTCAAATTCTGGTACAAAAGTGGGAGCCCAGAACAAGGATTTCAGTGCTGTTTCGCAGATGGACTTGACCAGAAGTTTAGTCCCAACTGTGGTGCAGGGTAGGGGAAGTGTACCTCTCCCCACAACAACTTAAAGAACATGCTCAGAGGCTTATCAATGCATGGGTCAGTGTACCTGTGTAAACAGGTCCTCAATTTAAGTACTAACAAGTCCATAAGGAGTTGAAGAACTTCTGCTACCATCTTTGATAAGAATCCACCCCACGTTGAGGGCTAGTTACCCTGTTCTCAGCAGCCACAGGGTAGCGGTCATATTGTGAGTTACTGTAGTCAAAAACCTCACGCTTTTGGGAGAAAGAGTCAGAGTATCGCTCCCTGTAAAGGTATGATGAAGAGTCATCTCTGTATCTTGATGAGGACTCATTGAACTCCTTGTCTCTCCTTCCATCTGAATAACTGTAACGTTTATACTGTTCGGGGTACGAGTTCCTTGTTTCATCCACAGGGGGTGATAGTTGTTCATAATGCACACTTGATTGAGAATATGATCTATGTCCTCCTCCATTGTCGATGTTATCCCTAGAGTATGAAGGAGGATAATCTTCCAATGATGATTTATATCCACTGAGTCTAGAGCTTTCACCATAGTCTTGTTGATAGTCACGTTGGTAATACGAATCTTGTGAGTACGCCGCCTTAGGGTGTTCATCGGCATATGAACAGTGTGGCTGATCTCTATCATAGAAAGACTGTCCTTCTCTAGCAGCATATGTGCTATTTTCCGTCTCCATCTCAACTGTCTCAATACTCTGTCGGCGCAAAAATGCAGAAGCTTCAACCGGCTTTAGCGTTCTTTCACCTTGCTCCTCTGTTGTAGCCATGGCTGGAAGGTTGTTTGAAGTTTCCGTAGTTTCGCCCGCAACAGAGTCTCTCCTGACTTGTTTTGTGCCATCTTCTGTCACTTTACTCTCCCCTCCTTTGCGCCTACGCTTCTTGCACCACATCTCGTGACAGTCCTGCCAAGTTGGAAGGCTAAACAGAGCAGTAAAAAAGATTAACAACATGACTTCTCAAAAACGTCAGATTACTCAGATGGAGTCTTTAGAGAAGCACCAAGGACTGCAAAATGACACTAAAAACAGCCCAGTTGGTCCTCAGAAAATGGTTGACCAACATTTGTCTATGTCAACCATGGTCACACAAAGTACACACCAATTATTTTTCCACACTTTGAACAGATTATTTTGGAGATTAGGTTTATCAATGTTATTAGTGGGCATTCCACCAGAAAATTCCTGGGAATAAGTAGAACTTTGAAAAGGAAGTCCAAACTATATAGTATAGACAATTCCATGAAATTTGCAGAATTATTTGGTAAATGGAAATGGCCATTGTATTGACAGGTTTGGTCTCCCACCGTGGCTGTCTGAGTGTGCCCACAACTCCCCCCAGCTACATGTAATAACTAGGCTTTTCATTACCTTGGAGGGCTGATGTTCTCACACACAATGTCCTTTAAAAATGCATGCTCTAGTGATTCTTCTGCTGTTATACGCTTTGATGGATCTAATGTCAGCATACTATCAAACAAATCCAAAGCATCTGCTGGCATACTGAGGAAAACAAAAAAAAAACATAATTAGATTAGCCCCAAGGAGAGAGTGAGAGTAGGCAGTTACATTCCCTAGGGACAGGGACCAAATGCTTAGAACTTGCTTTAAGTTAACTGTGTACATGACTGTATAGTATCAAAGCAAACACTGGGAAACTTAAGAGCAAGCACAATAAAACAAACAAAGAATAGATTAAGATAAACCTCAAGGAAATCAAAGATCACAGGCCTGACCAAAGTGATTTTTATTGTACAAGCCCACTAGCACTAAGCTTAGAAGTAAAGACAAACTGTGCTATAGCAGTGCCTGGTGGCCCCTGTTGCCTTACTTTTGTTCCTGGGTGATTCAAAAATCACAGGTTCAGAGCACTTTCTTAGAGCACAGCCTTGAAATAGTGCCCCATGCAGGCAAAAACTAAGATTACTTTTCGCCCAAGGACATAAGAAAGTCGTCACATGTCTGCTTGAGCACCACCCTGAATCACACAATGGGTTTTGATTAATACACCAACTTACAAGTTAAATTCCTCTTTAATCCTTCTCCTGTACTGCTTCTTGGGCTTCATTGTATGAAAATGTGGTAGATGGATCACATCTGGCCACACAGCAGGCGTGGGAGTTCCACAAACACGACTAGGAAAAAGAGTGATCATCGCTACAGCAATTAGAACTTGTATTTAAACTTAGTCTCATGAGTGACCAGGATTTATTTTCTCCTAACAAGATCAATACATAAACAAGAGGAAAGGTTATGAGAAGAAATGAAATGATCACCAAAGGGAAAATACATAGATCATTTCATAAATTCTCTCAACTATTTTGAAGGGAATGTAGTATGGAGATCAGTCTGGAGAATTTGCATGTGGATATTGGGATTTAAAGGGACTAGATGTTTCTACACTATGTTAGCCCCTAGTTATAGACAGGGCAGACTATCTACTTTTTTATGACTGTGATTGTTTGTGAGGAGGAGGTAACTAATTTTAACTATTTTTGACATTCTCACCTGATGAGCTCCAGCTGTCCAATTTCCTGCACTGCTGGGAAAATTGGTTTCTTGGTGAACAGTTCTCCAAGTATGCAACTAAACAAAAAAAAATTCCTTGTTAGCCAAAACTTTGCAAAAATACCACTTACAGTTTTTCTTAATTTGATAAGCATCAAGTGTAAATAAATGTTAACATTGTTTTAAGTAGCTTGAAAGAAAAAAAAGGGGCTGAATTTAGCTCATCAAGAATGTAGGGACTCATCTGTGCTTTGACTGCTTCGCATAATAAGCTGTCAAAAAGACAATATTTTTTGTAAAAAAGCCAAAGGCCTCTCACCCCACACTCCAGATATCTATGCCAGGTCCATAGCGCTCCTCTCCCAGCAAAAGTTCAGGAGGTCTGTACCAAAGCGTTATCACCTTGTTCGTGTATGGTCTCCTATAACATCAACAATAGACAGACATTTATAAAAAAAAAATAAAGTCAGCACTTTTGTTTCCCTTACAAAGGAAGTTAGACCATCTCAGTACTAAAAGATGATTTGATTCCCAACTCACCTTTCATCTGCTTCATATAATCTTGCTAATCCAAAATCTGCTAGTTTAATTTCTCCCCTACAAAAGAGGTCATTTTCATTATTTTTCATATCACAGAAGTAGTCACTGTGAACTGGCAGTTGTGCAGTAATGCAAGATTCTGTTTGTTGTTGTTGTTTTAATGAGCAATACAATGTAGGTAGAACACAAAAATATCATGTCTGATAACCCAAGGTTACAGCCACAAGAAAACACCACCACTATGTATCAAAAAGATGAAGGTATACCAAAAAAGTAAACATACTTGTTGTTGAGTAAAATATTGGAGCATTTGATATCTCTGTGAAGGAAATTTTTGCGATGACAGTAGTTGAGCCCATCTAGGAGCTGTTTTGTGAAGGACTTGATGTGGTCTTCAGTAAAATGAACAAGACCAGATTCCAGTACACCCATAAGATCATGGTCCAAGTATTCAAACACAAGATAAAACCCTCCTGTGATAAAAGAAAATAATATTAACAATACTATTATTAGAAAAGTGTTTTTTTAGTCAGTGAGAGAGGCGGCTTGGAAGAAAAAATCTGACTCCTCCCAATAGGGGTCGAACCTATGACCTTGTGGTTACTAGTCCAGCCATGCTCTACCACTAAATAAGCTGTGACACTGACAGAAAAATCATCATTCTCATGTATTCACCAGGCTCAAAATTCACCATCACATCTCCATCAATATTATTGTTGCTTGTTACTGAGTGATATTGTCAGATAAAAGCAAAACAACTAAGCCAAAAGAGAAAAACAAAATAAAAAACAAAACGAAGCAAAACAAAAGGCAAAGCAATGACAAAAAAAATACAGAAATAAATTGTTTGCATATATACAGGAACACATACATTGTACAGTGCAATTCTAGAAAAAAATGCTTTGTTTGCTCATCAAGTAAATACAATAATAAACAGATCTTTTGAGATGACCATAAATCATGACATTTTGACAGCTTACTGTAAGTCTTCTTCAGGCAATGTTGTCAAATGCTCAATATGCAGTGCAATTTGTATCAAAATGGAGTATGTGAAACGCGTGGGTATTTTTTGGTTAAAAAGTTTCCAATAGATTGAACCGAGATTTGTTTTAATTTATTTTTCTCTTTTTCAAACTCATTAGAATAATGATAAATGAGGAAAAAAGTAAAACTGGTTTTGAAATGTTGGAACTGAAGGAAACTGTAGCACAACATGTACAACCAAACTGACCTTTATCCTTCCTGAAATCCACAGCATTAGGTTTGTCTGTTACAATCTCTTTCAAATTCACAATGTTTGGATGATTGAGCTGTCGTAGAATCTTGATTTCCCTCACTGCTGTTATTGGAAATCCTTCCTTTTCATTGTCGGTTCTAACTTTTTTCAATGCAACAAGCTCCCCTAATGAAACAAGAGAGAAATCCAACTCAGAACCGGACCTGAGTTCAATTTTAGAGGAGCAATTTACATTATATTTACGTTCACATTAACTTTAAAATCTACATCCTTACTTTTCATTTACACAGATTCTGCGAAAAAATTACATTGATTGTCACTTAATAGACTGAAAAGAACTACAGCCCAATCCCAATTTGTTGAATCCTCAGGGAAAAACAAAATTGTTCACTTATTGAAGGTTCAAAATTGGGGGCCAAATAAAAATAATAGTGTTTAACTGGGGAAGGGAATTGGCCCCAGGATCAAATTATCAGGAGGTTAAAGAAACTAAGGGTTCAAAACATCACAATTCCACTGTACAACTTTCTGTGTACCTTGTTCGGAAAAATAAATTAACATTTTCATTCGCATAGCCAGACTTGAAAAATTCCATAGAAAGATTCAAAAGGCAAATACCACCTTGCACAGTGTATTTTACAAAAAGAAGCCTTTCTACCTCTTCAAAGCAAGGTTTCATAACAGTTTATTACACTGCATGTATCTGAAAGGTTTAAATTAACAATTTCTATACAGCAGGAATAGTCAGAACTTTATATATGATAAGGCTAAACTTGAGCAAAGAAAAGGTTGCACTTTTCCTAAAAACCATTAGGAAGCCAACAATAACATGTACCAAACCATTTCACATAAAAAGTGATAGCCTGTGTACAGATGTCCCCTCACAACCAAACACAACTACACAAACAACTACAATGTGTAATGTGATCAATTATTTATATCCTTTACCTGTGATTTTATCCTTTGCCTTGTATACTTGTCCATATGTCCCCTCTCCCACTTGATCAATGATCTGAAACATGTCCACACACCTCTCTCCCCACTCACTTTCCGCTGGTGTCTTTGGTGTTGTATCTGGTGTAGATAGTGGTGTCCCACTCTGACTACTTGGTCCAGTTGCTTCTGCGTCTTTAGCACCTGACTTTGGAGATGCAGGAGGTTTCCCCCCGGGGGAATGTGGCGAATAAGATGCTGGCGACTCGCCTGGTGTGCCAGGGAGTTCTGGTGGCAGTGGTAAGGGTGGTAACGTCGGAGCAGGAGGAGGTGGCGGTTTTTCTTCATCAGGAGGAAGCGGAGGAGGCTCATCACTGGGAAGAGGCGGAGGGGCTGGTTCATTTAAAGGAGGAAGTGGAAGAGCAGGTGCTGTCTCTGTTTGACTTATCTTATTAACATCACCAGTTCCTGATTTAACTCCAGACGAATTCAAGTTAGAGTCCTTTGTTGGTCCATTTGCTGGAGAATCTTTCACACCAGTCTCTAAATTTGGCTTTGTTGTTTTTGTGAGAGGCTGCTTCTGAGTATCCCTTGTTAAATTCCTTTTAACTCCATCCACACTTTCAAGTTTGCTCTTAGCCTTGAGTACATTGTCCTTGGAACTATAAGATTTTTCTATAGAGTCTCTGCTTGCAGACTTGGTATCTGTTGACCGTGCAGGCTCATTCCTGGAAGAATTTGACCTCTTATTTCCTGATTTATATGAAGAATGATGTACATCAGGGCTGCGCTGGGTGCCTCTGTGTGGTGATCTCTTTGGAGGAGAACGACTTCGAATGTTTGTTCTGACTGGTGATTTCCTGTATTTTGATGCATGCGGCGACAAAGATCTACTGCGGTGTCTATTCCTTTGCACTGGTCTATTTCGCATTCCAGTGCTCCTAAATGGTGGTGAAGGAGAGTGACGCCCATATGGTGAAGGTGACCGTCTTCTGCCATAAGAAGCAAAAGACCTACTCCGACCAAACGGCGACAAACGTCCCATAGGTGATCGATATGGAGACCTTTCCGGTGATCTATAAGTTCTCATGGGTGATCTCCCCCTCGGAGGGGAGGGCGATCTTGATCTGTGGCTATAAGGAGACCTGGACCACACTTTCATAGGCGATCTAGCCTTGAAAGGAGACCTCTCTCTCTTGTACATTGCAATTGGAGATCTGGTGGGACTAATACTTGGTGACTTTGGCGGCCTGTACGCTATTGGAACATAAGGCGACTCGGATCCGCGTTTCTTTACCATAGACGGTGAGATCTGCCGGTAGATATCCTTATTTGATGGCGGCAGCTTCGGCGAAGGAGTCATGTCTTTCCATTTCGAGCTTGAAACAGGAGACAACGGTGGCCCCTCAACCTTTGCGAGCGAAACATTTACAGGCGACCTGCCACGTTTCTTGCGCTTTTTGCTTGATCCTTGCACCAAGCTATCCTTTTTTGACTTCTTCCTCTTTACATTAGCCTTTGATTTTTTCGACGCCACGGGCGAAGGGCTCCGTGAGATGGAGCTGTACTTTTGAACGGGCAACTCTGCGGTTTCTTCCGAAGCTGAGGAAATATCTTCATATTGTCCCTTTAGCTTTTCAGCCGAAGCCTCAGTTTTGGGACGTTTCTTATGTTTCTTTTGTTTATGGGATGACTTTTTGCTTTTGCTATGGTTTCGAGCAGAAGGGCTCAATTCCTTTTCATTTCGGGAACTGGGCATCTTGATCCCGATAAGAAAGTTTTGGCGGAAATGTCACTACATTGTTCGCTTCATTGAGAAATAAACCCGTAAAACACAAGAGTAAATATCTGGAATAAAGAGATTTTATGGGAAACGCATTTTCAGGATGAAGGAAACAAGATGAAAGTGGATTTTCACAATGAAGTTTTCAGATTGACATGGGCGCCATTTTGGATTGCAGACGCACTGGTGCGCTAATTGGTTTGGGCATGCGTGGTGCATAAATTACGCATAATTATGCTTTTAAGATGGCGGACGAACAAGAAGAATTTCAAGAAATGAACGAAGTAAATATGGACTATCAAAGGGTGAAACAAACGCATGAACTGGTAAAATAGCTTTAGATCTGCTTTCATTTTAATTTTTGGTAAATCGGAGTGTTCAGTTTGCTGAACTGGGCAGTTTTGGGATATTTTTCGTTTCATTTTTTATGTGACGGCCTGTGTACTGTACGTTTGTTTGCTCGAGCTCACGTTTATGTTTTTGGGCATTTATTTTGTACTCCTTCCCGAATTTGATTTTGCCACTCTTGAAAGTAATACTTGTAAGATCTCCGTACAGCTCAGCCCCATGCAACTCATGCTATTTCACACAAATGAGTTACTTAATGAACTGATAAGTTATGACATATATGAGTTATGAAATATACCGTAAAATTCCGAAAATAAGCCCCGGGGCTTATATTTTTCAACGGCCCTTTTTGAGGGGCTTATTTTTTGAGGGGCTTATATTCGGACGGACTTATCTACGGGGCGAAATTTGCGTTTCAAAATCGATTGGGCTAGCCTTATAGTTGGACGTAAATTTACCGTTTTTGTTTTGTTTTACTTTGTATTTGAGGGCAATTTTCCAAGCACAAGCCCCTGGGGGGCTTATATTTGGAGGGACGATTTAACGAAGGGTTTTTTGCGTTACCGGTTTGGGGGGATTATATTTGGAGGGGCTTATTTTCGGAATTTTACAGTAGTTCATTTAATACTGCAGAGTTTTGTGGTTAGAGCCAAAGCCAAACAAATTTTTCCTGTTTCCTTTTAGGCTGGATACCGCGAGGGCATTGAATCAGGAAAAGAAGCACATTTACAACAAGGTTTTAACCAAGGATTTTCTTATGCTACTTACGTTTCAAGGAAATGGGCAACTTTGAGAGGGGCTTTGAGGTATAGATAAACATACTTGTACTGTAAACCAGTTGTTAAGGTTTATTATTTGCACTTGTAAACTGGGTGCTGCCAAGTGCTGGTAAATGCCATGTTACTAACTTAACAACCAAGAGCTGTGAGTTGCATGAGCAGTTAGTGGCAAAAGTTATCCTTACTAATGTTCACATGCTTGGGTCATTCCAGTCATTTGGGTTTCAATAATGATTGAAGTAGCCAGCAGGTTTGAATAGAGTAACCAGCTGTATCAGTAATGAGCCATTTTGTCCTCTTCTTCTAGAGGGGTCTGGGGGCATGGACCCTCAGAAAATTGTGAAATTTCAAAGCCCTAAAATGCGATTTCCAGCATTCTGGGGACTAAATTGAGTACTAGGAATTCATGTGTGGGGGTGTGCTAGTTGGATGTGTGTAGCCCTGAGCCTTAACCATGTCCAGCAGCATGTTGTTACTTTCTAGACTGAGGCAGATCCTGGACATAAAGCTTTAGCTAATAACCAAAAACTCTTATTCTTATGATGTGCTGTAATTTTTTAATTTCTATACCCTAGCCAGAGTATTAAAACTGCCTGAAAACTGTACTCTCCCTGACTTGTCCCCAGTCATCTCTCGGTGTCCTATTAATATTAGGGACTTTAAGATTCAACAACGTGACGGCAGCGAGAGCAAAATAGGTTTAAGGAGCAAAACAACAACTTTTCTCATGCATGGCCCTTTTTCCTACATTTCTTTGCCATTTTCACACAAGTATTTCACTTTCTGTACTTAAATATGGTCCCTTTGCGTAGCTTCAAATTCAAATTCAGAAGGGTTCACATACATTTGACAGAGTAAGTAGGTAGGAATTATCCCAATAAAGACTGAAAGAATGCAAATTCATTTTTCAGGGGACATTCTTGTTTCTCTTGCATCATTTGATCTTAAAGTCCCTATTAATGAGAGAAGTGTGGTCAAGGGGAGCATGGGGGATGATGAAAAGGAGGAAAGAGGGGAGACCCCTTTCACTTTCCCATTGTTTCCTTTGCACCAGATGCTGTTATAGTCTCTTGCAACGTTCCTTGATCGCTTCCAAATAATAAGGGACAGCTGGGGACATGTCAGGTACAGTTATACCCTCCACAGCAAAATAATACACTACCTATAACCCATATATTAAAGTACACCCCCCCAACCTCTCTCCCTTTACTCAGTTGGGTCTGGACAACTGAGTCATCCAACTCCATGTAGCAATGCACTTGTTAAGAACTTATATGGAACAAAAGGAATCAAGAGGGTTAATTTGTCTCATATCCAAGGGCGTTTATCACCAGAATACTCTATGTATTATTTGCACTGACTGTTAAATGAGTTTAACACTAGTAGACACTCTCAGGAAACAGAACAAAAAGTCCATGAGTTTTTCATTGACTAATTTCTGTCCTATCACAGTGCTCTGATGTCGCTAGTGATATTGAAATATGAACAAGATTCCAATCCAGGCATCATGTCTGAAATCACAGAACTACTTGCCGAGGCTACAAAAATTGAGAGGAATGCTCTTGAGGTACAAAATATGCAACAGGCATTCGAAAACAGAATCAATCAGACTGTTGGGTATTGCAAAGGCTCTACGGCACCACCAAGTGTGGGAAACAAGACTGAAGAACGACACTTTGATGGCGATGAGTTAAGTTCAGCATTTGAAATGCTTCATACAGCAGATAAAGCTAATGCAGTTGAACATTTAGGAGTTGAGACTGACAGAGAGCAACAGAGAGTAAAAACTGGAATCACTTTCCAAGGCTTAGCCACGGATGTTGTTTCTGATGAGTCTTGTGGACCTTCGGAAACAACTGAAACTATGCCTAGGGATCTAGAAGTGTTGTGGTCAAGGACATTTTCTTTAGCTGATAAAATTGGTATAAACAGACAGAAAATTATTTTTCTGAAATGTCTTTGATTAAATTACTATGACTCATGAAAAACTAAGTATTGTTGGTTTGTTGTTATGCACAGGGTCATTTTTCATTTTCTCCCTTGCATACATTGATCCAGACATCAGGTTGATGACCATCAACTGACGTGATACAACTCACTTTGAACCTGACTATGACTACCACACAGGTTGTCGAAACGTCAGTCACTGTCAACAACAACAACAGTCCTATTCAGGACTACGTTCACCCGCACAATCATACTCAACCTACTAATGAAATGGCTCCTTGGTTCAAACCTTTAACAATTTTAATAACGTTTTACATAAGTTTTACAAACTTACATTATATTATTACACCATTATACTTAAATTAACACCAAAAACAATGTTTTTATACTTTTCGTCTTGGAACTAAGTCTCTTAAAGGAAGCAAACCTTGCAAAGTGGTTGGGACTCCCCTTTAAATACATGCTCACCCCTAAAGGTAATGTCAGGGTGTAAACCAGGGCCGAGTTGTTCAAAGCTGGGTTAAGATAACCCAGGGTTAGTTCGAAATTTGAATTCAGATATGATAGCTTAAAAAGCAAATTCAGTTTAATTCTTTTTGTCAACACTTTGATGATTGGCTGCTCTAAATTGTCTGAGAAATTGCTTTTGATGAAAAGAAAAAGAGACCCGGGTTAAAATTTAACCCTGGGTTAGTGCTAATTGGCCTTCGAACAACTGGGCCCAGAAAATTAGTAATTAAATGGGTGTCTAGTTGCTGGCAGGAAATCTACTTGTCCTTGCCGACTATCAAGCCTCGTAGACAGTCTAAATCCCTAATGTAGACAGAGTGCAGATTAAAAAATCTAGCCAATCAGAAAATGATACAGCAAACCTGTCGTTATAAGAACAAGCTTTTGGGACTAGTTGTCAAAGACAGACTATATCTTAATTTTTTCTTTAGGTCTCCAGTGACAATTCCCGCTGCAACACAAGCTGTGTACAATCAGAAATGATTTTTTTCAAGCCCTGTTTAGGAGCAATGATATTATATCTTCATTGTGTATGATCCCTCCTGATAGTTTGAGTACAGAGCAGTTGTATCTGTTAGAGTGAGCCAGTATTATTGATGTCCTTTTTATTGCTCAGCAGTGTATAGTCAAGTGACAGGCAGCTAAATCTCAAATGCAGGAAATTTAGATGATTTAGGTTCCAGTAAGTCAGCTAAGAAGTAAACTGTGCCAGCCATACCTAGGAAAAAAAGTAAAAAACACTCAGTCATAGCCTGTGCCACAGATGAAACCAAAACTCTTGTTTAAGTCTGTCTGTCTGTCAAACAGTGCCAATATCCTTTTTCTGGACTCCTACCTATGAACTTGGATTTGAGTACATGCATGATTTGTGTGTGCAATTTGTCAATCAGGCTGAAAGGAAATTCAAAACGCATTTCCGGTAATTCATTGAGTCTGTTGGTCCCCCAGAAAAAGGAACTCGGTGCTGCTTCACAGACATTACTAACCGGGGTTAAACTACATCTGCAACACAGGCTACATGCCTGTTAATGTAAGGCAGTGTAAATTATCATCCATGCAATGTGGTGGCTATCACAGACAGCGAATGCTATTTTCTTTGCTGTGAGCTTTGAAAGTGCACAGCTTTCGGAGATCACACCATCCTCAAGTTAAAAGCCATTATCAATCATTTAAATTGAATTAAGATTAACTGTCACTTCATCTGTATCAGGACGAAAAACATACCTTCAAATAAAGAGTAAGGATGGTCTGGGGTACGACAGCCATGCTGACCATAGTCAAAACACCATTCTGCAAACTAAAATTTGACACATTCAGTTACAATCTCATCTAATATTACAGATAGGAAACTTCAAATTCATCATTAATATCAACTATTGGCTTTTAATAACCATGTCTTGAAAAAAGGTGATGAGTGCAACTGTTTAATGTACTCTGAAAGATAACTTTGAGGTGGAGAGAGGAGTTTGGAGAGAACCACTTAATGCTTCGAAGAATGACCTGAATATTGAATTTTGGGCATCTCAAGTCTCACTTTCTTAGGCTTACTAGAGTTTACATTGTCTCAAAGGTGCTCGTTTTACCCATTTTGAATTTTTGAGAATTACCCCAAGACATAACTTTGTGAAAAAAACTAACAGGTGGTCTGTTTTTAAATATTTAAGTTGTCAGAGGTTTTTTTATCTTGTGATGATATGAGATGTATGAAAGGTCCAAAGAACCAACCTTGATTGCTCGATGAAGATACTTTTGATCTCCAGTCTGCTTGAACAAGCACAAAAAAGTGTAAGCATTTCCTGCCACACCATGACAGATTCCATAACCTTTCTTTAGAAGACCACGGCTCCAAACAACTTCTCCACACTTAAGAGCTGCATCCAGGTACTTCTCCTTTCCAAAAACCTTGCAAGAAAAAAGGGGAAATTTGCCACAGTGTAGGAAATGACCACTCACATGCTTGATAGAGGTAAGGTATATA